TGTTTCAATCTTTTCTGGCCTTCTCATATCAGCTGATGAAAATGAACAAAGCCATGTTGGAATACCGAGATGTCTTGACATTGCAAATAAATCTTTCTGAGCAGACTGCTAGAATTGATGAGTTCCTCTTGTGGGTTTCCAGAAGTCGTAGCCTTTATCTTATTTAAATATCACATATCAGCTGATGAGAATGAACACAGCCAAGTTGGAATACCGAGTTGTCTTGACATTGCAAATAAATCTTTCTGAGCAGACTGCCAGAATGGTGGAGTTCCTCTTGTGGGTTTCCAGAAGTCGTAGCCTTTATCACCTGTAAGATTTTCAGAAGTAACATTTCTACCATGTGACTGGTCCCTTTCGCATTTTATCAGAAACATTTGACATAACTTGTTAAATTTCAGAAAGATATTGAGCAAAACATATGGAGTCAGTGTTTTGAGCAAATCGATGATCAGCGTTCATGCGGCGTGTTTGTCGATAACGTGCAAGTGTTATTCTCTCTTCACAATCATCATGGAAGGTAGGGACCCTGATGGGAACAGAACTGGAAATGATCTTGCTTCATTGCTTTTGTCTGTGAGGACTCGGACAGAATTATTTTCCTCAGCAGTGCAACACAGGTTATCTTTTCCAAATGTTGATCAAGAACTTCTTGGCCAATATCAAGAGGTTGTAGACAGGTATTCATGAGAAATCCATGCTATTTCTCAGACTTCTTTTTCATGCTTCTACATCACTAGAATATTGACAATGATTAGAACTAAATCATTATAAAAGTAACAATATATTATGAAAATAATTCACAGATGTTATCAAGCTAACTTGAATTTATGTGTTATATTAATAAGATGCAACAATAATAAAGCTCCTAGTTTTCTGGACACTTCTTCAGAAATTGGATTGCTGGCAACATGGGAGGAGAGCTTCTTGGCATTTTCTATTTTTGTCTAATAATAATAATAATAATAATAATAATAATAATAATAATAGTAATAGTACAATACAATACAATTGGATAAACCCAACTGATCAATCATCGATTATGTAATCAGTTAAATGACCGATTCCTAAAAGTAGATGTCCTTTTCTACCGGTACATTTTTGATTATTTTATTGATTGATTCTTCTCTATTTATGATCATCATGGAAGGTTGGGGACATTTCACATGTGACAGTTGTCAAGGAAGGATGTTATTGTCTCATCCTTGTATTGAGCTCTGCATTTATCACCTTGTTCTCTGAATTTTGTTTCAATCTTTTCTGGCCTTCTCATATCAGCTGATGAAAATGAACAAAGCCATGTTGGAATACCGAGATGTCTTGACATTGCAAATAAATCTTTCTGAGCAGACTGCCAGAATGGTGGAGTTCCTCTTGTGGGTTTCCAGAAGTCGTAGCCTTTATCTTATTTAAATATGTCATATCAGCTGATGAAAATGAACAAAGCCAAGTTGGAATACCGAGTTGTCTTGACATTGCAAATAAATCTTTCTGAGCAGACTGCCAGAATGGTGGAGTTCCTCTTGTGGGTTTCCAGAAGTCGTAGCCTTTATCTTATTTAAATATCACATATCAGCTGATGAGAATGAACAAAGCCAAGTTGGAATACCGAGTTGTCTTGACATTGCAAATAAATCTTTCTGAGCAGACTGCCAGAATGGTGGAGTTCCTCTTGTGGGTTTCCAGAAGTCATAGCCTTTATCACCTGTAAGATTTTCAGAAGTAACATTTCTACCATGTGACTGGTCCCTTTCGCATTTTATCAGAAACATTTGACATAACTTGTTCAATTTCAGAAAGATATTGAGCAAAACATATGGAGTCAGTGTTTTGAGCAAATCAATGATCAGCGTTCATGCGGCGTGTTTGTCGATACTGTGCAAGTATTATTGTCTCTTCACAATCATCATGGAAGGTAGGGACCCTGATGGGAACAGAACTGGAAATGATCTTGCTTCATTGCTTTTGTCTGTGAGGACTCGGACAGAATTATTTTCCTCAGCAGTGCAACACAGGTTATCTTTTCCAAATGTTGATCAAGAACTTCTTGGCCAATATCAAGAGGTTGTAGACAGGTATTCATGAGAAATCCATGCTATTTCTCAAACTTCTTTTTCATGTTTCTACATCACTAGAATATTGACAATGATTAGAACTAAATCATTATAAAAGAAACATTATATTATGAAAATAATTCACAGATGTTATCAAGCTAACTTGAATTTATCTGTTATATTAATAAGATGCAACAATAATAAAGCTCCTAGTTTCCTGGACACTTCTTCAGAAATTGGATTGCTGGCAACATGGGAGGAGAGCTTCTTGGCATTTTCTATTTTTGTCTAATAATAATAATAATAGTAATAGTACAATACAATACAATACAATACAATACAATACAATACAATACAATTGGATTAACCCAACTGATCAATCATCGATTATGTAATCAGTTAAAAAAGTGTAGGTTTCCGGAAACCTTCCGGATACCTTCCCATTTTGGATCCGGCCCGGATACCTTCCGGAAACCTTCCAAAAATAATGTCAAAATTTGGGGGGTGCATTTTGTTCACTTAAGTGTGAAACATATAAAAAAGTTATCTTGAAAATACCAAGAGATTTGAAGGTTGCTGAAGGCATTTGGAAGGTATCCGGATGCAAATTTTCTTCATGTATTTTTTAACAATAAATGTGTCAGTGTGGGATATCATTCAACTGCAGTGATTTTCTGAGTCATCACATTCCTCAATATCCTCAGTAATGTTTGAGATTAAATCAGTACATATAGTGTAACTTCATAAGGAGTAAACACTAAAACAAAAAAACTTCCCCCCTCTGCCTTTTAGATAGCTTAAACTCAGTGGGCATTATTGTTTAATGATATAAACTGTGAATTTTATGGACATAAACAAGTCCTCGGGAAAGTACTTGCAATAGGAGACTTAATGGTTTGAGTGACCCCAACTCGAAGGGATCCTGCTTGTATGTAATGAATCATTACTTCAGCTAAGTTGACTGATGAATAAGGATATTGGTTGAACCTACTAAAGCCTCAATTAGAAGATAAATTGGAATCTGACATGGATTAGATAAATACAAAGGCATAACTACAAAAATCAAGTGCCCTTCAGGCACCAGGAACTTCTTAACCGTGTCATTGTCACTGTAACACAAAATGTTACAACCTGAATAATTATAAAGATTTCAACCAGAATCAACTGCCATTCACTTATTGTCATTGGACTGACCCAAAAGAACTGGTATTTATAACCAAATTTGTTGTTCAGTGATCCTTTTTTCACCCCATAGATAACTGGTCATCCTGGTAAATAAAGACAAAAATGATGCTCAAAATTTCATGTGCTTACATTCAAATCTTTTATTTATTTTTACAGCCTTAAGTCAATCTTCTGTCAATCAATGGGGCATGTTGCATACAATTGCCTTCCTTATTGAATGGTAAAATTTAGAGTTCCCTTTATTCACTAAGTGGACACCATCAGGCAGAAACAAGGAATCCCGCATGTTAAACTGGCGGCTGTGGTCCCATATGGTGACATGAGGGTTGTCACCCAACTGTTCCTGGAGAGTCTTGTTAATTGTCCTCATTTTCTTACTATAAGCATTTCTGCTCATGCCCCTTGGCTTGAGTCTGTCAAATAGAGATCCAAGAATCAGATGTGATGTTGGCATTGCAGCACTGACATGGGAAGCAAGTCTTTCCATCGCGTTTACAATTTCCCCAGCGCCTCTTGCAGAACTGATGTCATTCTCGCCTGAAAAATACAATAGTTGTAAAAGATTGGACAATGGAGTTGGGTGTTATAAGCCTTCAAAATAAACAAAATAAGCAAACAGTTACCCTAAATAATTTGATATTTATGATTAAATTTAATTAAGTCCAATATTAGTTTTCTGACCATGGGTGAATGGCCGGTATTATGACTAGGGGTCTTAAGCTAAATCTAATAACAAAATCACTTACAAAAGCCAATACATATTTTACTTACCGATCTGCATGAAAATTATCCCACAGAATCCTTGAGGGAGTTGCCTCACCTCTTCCATCATCCTGGCTACATCAGCACCACCTATCCCTCGAAAATGTGCTGTGACCCCATTGAGATCTAAATCCCCATGAGCATGAGTGCTTAGCCTCTTGACAAAACTGTGTCCCATGACGTACACATTTATCTTATTCATATTTCAAAGTTAGTGGGAAAATGGTGAATATATCTGGAAGAAAGTAGAATATTGTGGAACTGACTGGTCTCAAAGATGACAGTCACTTAAATATCACCCAAACCGTTGATGCCAAGCTTGCAACAGGTAATTGTTTTGACAGCAATACTAACATGTTCTCCAAAAACATTCTCCGGAAGTGTGATGTTTACACAACCTCAATAGACTTAAGCTGCTTAACATATTTATCTGGGAGAACTGCTGGATTGTATGTAATATTTATGTAGTTTAAGTAAGCACTTATTTCCATTGAGGTTGATGCTTATTACAACATTCTAACATCTGTGTACCCAGGGTAGTCTAGTGCCAGTTAAGTTGGCAAAGCAGTGCTAGATGCAGAAATGACTGTATCAAATGTATGAAATACACATAGATAGAGTACAGCCAGGAAGTAAAGGAATATTAATCATCATCCAAGGTAAGTGTGGTTGTGAGATATTATTTTTATACCAAAAGGCAGTAAAATGATTTGTTTGACTTAGTATGGCATTAATGTATTGAGCCAGTGTGAATGATTTCATGAAAAATAATCATGAAACTAAAACGACACCTGAGTATTCATTCACAAGTTTGTACTGCTGTGCCTTCCAACGTATCAGTTCTTGTGGTTCTTTGAATACAATGTGTTTAATACAACTTTTATCAATTTTACAAGTTGACAAACCACATGTCATACCTTAACTCACTTGAACATTCAGTAATGATGGTAGAAAACAAAATACACTACATGATAAAAAGGGACAACAAACAAACAATGCTTAAGATATATATTTCATTTATTAGTAATTATATTTTGTATGTACATATCACAGATTTAACAGTATTCACATGATAGTGACAAATAGCCATGGTGAACTATGACTTCCATTAACTGACACAATAAATAACAAGCACGCACAAGTTCACATACTCACAACCTATTTGTAATTTCTTACCCCGCACCCAGCACTATTCCAGCTATAGCACGGCGGTCTGTAAATAACCGAGTCTGGACCAGACAATCCAGTGATTGACATCATGAGCATCGATCAATGCAATTGGCATCAACCAGGTCAGCGAGCCTGACCACCTGATCTTGTTAGTCGCCTCTTACGACAATGTTAAAAGTTATTAGATTGGTCTGGGTGAAATTGAATAAATAATGCCATACTATATAAACACAGTAGTTGATCATAGTTATCATGTTCACAACATAAAGAGCACTCAAGCACATTCACTCACACTTCACAAGAAAAAGACATCCACATAGACAGTTATTGCACTAATGTACTGAAAAGAAATTGGTTGGTTATATGCATGAAATAAATAGGATAATAAATAAATAAGTACTATTCATAATCAACTATACACAATGGCTTCTCTAGGAAGATGACAAATTGTGTTCTCATGAAGGTTTGATTTGTCAGTTTTTGTAAATCAGCTCAGCAATATTCCAGCTAAATTATGTTGGTATGTAAATAATCGAAGCAAAGCCAGACAATCCAGTGATATAATGTGCAAGGACACATTAAAATTAAACAACTCAACAAATAATGCAAATGCTATTCTAGTGTGCAATGTGAGAAATACTTATGAGTACGAAAGGAAAATGAGTGAGTGAATGCTCAATGACACTCAGCAATATTCCAGCTACATGGCAGTGACCTGTACAGTAGTGAGTCTAAACCAGAGAAACCAGTGATAGATGTAATGTCGTACACCACCATGGTACATTGTCACACCATCTACAAAATCATTGCTATTGACCACCCAATCCATTTAGAAGCATTATAGGCAAACATAAGGTACTGAAGACCTATGCAAACCTTGAATCCCTGAGACTTAATTGATAAAATTGGATAAATAAATTAAAATGTAAATCAAATGCTATTCTAATGTGCATTATGAAGAATACTAGTTAGTATCAAACAAAATAGTGTGAGAGTGAGAGAGAGAGAGAGAATGCAAAATAAGAAAAAAACACTAAGCAATATACCAGTTACATTACAGTGACCTGAAAATAACTTATCCTTGATCAGACAAATACTGGGAGTGAGTTGGGTTTAATGCCGCTTTTAATAGTATTCCAGTAATATCGTGACGTATCAGCTTATGTGGGAGGAAAGCTCGAAGTGATGCAGGTCTCAGACGTTTACCACTTCGGTGAAACCCACGAGCACGGGTATGGTGCTGACAAACCTAGAACCAGGATTCGAACCCACAATCCTACCAAATATCATTATGTATTCGCAAAATCATTGATAACAAACATAAATGAACAATGATACAATAAATGTATCAGATTTTTTGTCTGTGATTCAAACTTGAAAAAGGTATTTCAACAGACAAAAAATCTTTAGTCTTAATTTGTATCACAAAGTAATCTCATCTGAGGTAAGGATTTCTCTGAGTATACTCAATAGAAACTGTTCCTGTTTTGAAACTACATCAGTTGACAAGTTGTCAAAGTAAGATTTGGCGGTGGGGTAGTCTAGTGGTTAATGTGTGGCCTCGTCACACACCCTTATCTCATGTTGGGGCTCACACCCTACTGTGATAATGAGGGCCTACACTTGACTGAAATCCAATATGGAATCGGGTAGGATGACATTTGAAATATCATTATGTATTATCATAATCAATGATAACAAACATAATGATACAATAAATGACAATCTTTCTGATTTTTTGTCTGATTAAATCTTGAAAACCATTTAATGGAGGCATTTCAACAATTTCTCAGACAGAAAATCTGAATTTGTAGCACAAATAATTTTATTTGAAGGTAACAATTTCTTTCTGTTTACTCAATAGAAACTTTCCTGTCTTGTAACGGCTACATAAGTTGTCAATGAAAGAGCAAAGCAGTTAATGCGTTGGCCTGTCGCACCAAAGCCATGGGTACGATTCCCCACATGGGTTCAAAGTGTGAAGTGCATTTTCCGATGATGAAATACTGCTAAAGGCGCCCTAAAACCATACTCACTCAAAGTAGGAGGAAATATGAAATGATCTCAACAATGCAGTGTTATTTCATTTGCTTCATAATATTACAAGTTTACATCTAGCCCAATACAGTGAAGCCCCACCTTAACATATCTCAATCTGTGTCATGGTTACTCGTAACTAGTTTCTAATGATGAATAAACATGTTTTTGCTGTAGTTTAGGCGACTATGCTTGTCGCAAGAGGCGACTTAAGGGATGGGGTGGTCAGACAAGCTGACTTGGTTGATGCATGTTGTATACCAATTGCGTAGATCAATGCTCATGATGACATCATGCTGGGTGTGGCGTTAGCTGGGTGTTAGCTGGGTGTTAGCAACATTCAATTACAAAACATGATGGCGTTTTGTAAAGAAATCAAGTCTAGACCAGACAATCAAATGATTGACATCATGAGCATCAATCCATGGCACATGTAATGACATGTAATTAAGTCACCGACACCAAAGACCACCCAATTAATTACCTCCTACAGCAACCATGGGGTGCTGCCAACTTGCAGGGGATCTATATTCTTACACGGAATCCCCATTAGTGTTCTTACTGTAGACTGCAGTTGGCAATACATTATCAACATGACAATTGAGATGTGAGAACAAATGATGCTAAAAAGGTGTGTTAGTCCACAAATGATAATGCAAATAGTGCTAAATAAATATAATCAGGGTTTATCTCAGGAACTAACGAGTAAGTGCCTGTGGCTGGCAACTTTTTGCAAGAACAAAATGATTGCATTTTAGTGTTAAATATTTGTAACATTCCGAGCAAGACTAACGTGTACAACAATTTGAATTAATAATATTTTGATTCAATTTTCGGAATATATCCGTACTTTTGCCATGTATACCCTTAACAAAGACCCACCTCAAACCAAGATAAAACCCTGAAAATACTAATTACCTGATCTCTATACTTACAACCTACTGTTCGCTTGTCCTGTTTGGTGTAGGCTGACTGGGGCTGGACTCAAGCAAGGCTGGAAATAACAAAACCTCCACATTGAATGCTCATTTTGATACTCCGAGGCAAAGAAGACAGAACCATGTCTAATGTGATTAAGCTTTGCTCACATAAGTACAATGCAAGAGATCTGTTACTGATGTACCCCTCTCAAGATATCTGCAATACTGCCGAAATCTGAGTAAAAGCCACATTTCAACCCATGGTCTCAATCATCAACAGATGCATAATTACATATGGGCTTTCATTTACCAAGAAAACTATCGATCAAACGCATGTTAGGGGTGTCGGATTTTATGGAAAAACTAATTAAGCTACAGACTGTTAAAAAAGGGGAATGTTCTGCAACACAATTTACATTGTTGCTGACAGATTTTCTAAAAGAGATATGCAGGCTTATAGTGTTAATTAAAAAATAACTGGTTATCACACAAAATCCCAGCTCCACCCCAAGAATATCAAAATGGCTGGTCACAAAATGAAAGGTCACCGTTTTGTTAATCCAAATGTGAATTTTAAAATTTACGTTTTTGTCCCACATTCATAAACTACAGACAAGTCTAAAAAAGAGCATTTGACATTTACCATCTCTCACATGCGTGGATCGAATGGCCCATGACGGCAACTTCTTCGGCATGGGCTCCTCACAGCTCCTCGTCGGGTCGTACTCCAGCTTGGCCTTGGGTGGTCTCCTCACATGCTTCAGAGCAGCCTCGGTCCGTTCGTCTAAATACTTCTTTATGTCCACCATCTGTGTGGACTCCCACTGTATTTCGTGAACCCATCTCATCCCAGGCTGGTCATCGTCGCTTACATCTGGAGAGGTACACTCCCGGGTGAGGACTTCTTGTACGCGTTCCTTCCAGGCTGCTGGCTTGGGGCACTGGTCCAGTGAGTTCTGGCGGGACTTCAGTTTCTGCAGAATTAATGAAAATTGATTGTTGCCATTGGTATGCAACGACTTAATTATTTCACTTATGAATTACTGTTTCTGTAATGTAAGGTAAACAGCTGTAAGGTAAATCAGCCAGTATTGATTTATGTTCTTTCTGCTTGCAGTTGCAGTTATCAATAATTTATACGAAACATTCTTAGATTCTTATCTAATCTTAATAGGGAAGAATGATTTATGTTCCAACAAAGAAACTTAGTAAAATCTAACTATTTGTTTACATTTGTATACTTATCCTGCATTACAAATAGCAAAAGAAACCTACTGATATTTACATGGCAAATTATCACTTACTGCTGTTCTTCTCTTGTTCCTCCTGGCTGCTCGTCTGTGGTCTGCTTTCTTTCCGGTGATGCTGCGGGTGTAGTCGTCTTTCTTGTTGATCCATATGTTCTTGAAGGCTGCTACAAGTATAAGTAACATTCACATTGCAGTAATTTCCACAAGATTATTTAATGAATTTGATAATTAGTATACACATCTGAATGAACACTTTCAAATGTGTGACTGAACATTTTTACTGCAGGTCTTGTTTTGCAGATTATGTATGTCTTAAGTTCTTGTTTAAGTACAAGTAATATGGACATGTATGTATTAATAAATTGTGTCTATTGCCTGTCATAAAAGGCGACTAACGGGGACGGTTGGTCAGGCTCGCTGACTTGGTTGATGCATGTCATGGATCCCAATTGCGTGGATCGATGCTCATTATATTAATCACTGGATTGTCTGGTCCAGACTTGATTATTTACAGACTGCCGTCATATAGCTGGCATATTGCTGAGTGCAGCGTTAAACAACAAACAAACAAAAAAATCTTGTCTATTGGTATCAGACCCATGGCCTGTTTCCTTAGTACTTAACATTCACAGGATTCTGATTAGTGTATGTGCTTTTGATATAGTGTACTCCCAATACCATACCTCGCAAAGTGTCCATGTTGGCCCATTCCTTCTCTGAGTGATTTTTCAGGACCTCTCCAATCACCCGATCTCTCGCAACAGTGACCGAATCACTGTTGTAGCTGAAATCACATCACAGTTACATATAGGATCCAGTGTTTTCGTTTACTTTGAAGATACATTCCAGAGAACTTGTACATATCCATAATTTACGTAAGACATTATTCATAAAACAACCATAAACATCATTTCTAAACAATCAATTTGGTAGACATGTACTGATTTGCAACTGACTAATGATAAAGAACTCATTTGTGAGCCCCACTGTTATAAACTCTGATAATTGTGTGTGATATTTTTGTAGAAAATTCAGTTTCAATAAATTCAAATTATTGCATATACAGAATATACTCACTCAAGATACTCAACTACAAGAGGTGAGTCCTTCTCAGTCTGGAGGATCTCCATAACCCTCCGTATCACACTCTGAAACAAAGATAACAATAGTGATATTCTCATATCATTACATTACCGGTTGTATGAGAGTTTGTAAATAATCAAGTCTTGATCAGACAATCCAGTGACTGACATCATGCGCATCAATTGTGATATGATTAACCAAGCCAGTGAACCTGACCACATGATCCTGTCCATCAAATCAAATAAATCAAATGTAATTTCGAAATCACAATTTTGACTATACCAGTTTACAATAACATTATTACTTTTTATAAATAAACCTTCACAATGTAGCTAAAAAGTAAAGATTGGTAATTAGAAGGAAGAACATGCATCTTAGATAACATTAATAAAACATTGCTGATGCATTATGTGTTCTGCCAGGACAATTTATAGCTGTCGAAATTGGAGAGATATAACAGATTAAGTAATCCTTGTGTTTGTAAACATTGCATAAAACCTAGTCAGATAGTTAGGCCATAATCAATTTCTTAATAGTTTTCTTAGACAGATGTTACAGAAGCCTTTGCACGATTAGGAAATTGAACAACTGAACAGATATTTTACCTGACATTTCCGCAAATTGGTCTTTCTGCCCACTGGCGTTGAAGAAAAGCTGGCCGGGTCTTTCGGAAATCGTCTTTCGAGGGAATCTAAACTTCTCTGAATTCCGTCAAGTCGTCCCATGACAGTTGGATATGAAGTTTGCGACGATGACGGTGTAGAAGGAGGTGTATCCATGTTGGCGATTATCGAAGATGACGTGATTAATACTTGGCTGACGATTGAAATTGAATGATAAGCCATGATGACAGCTGAGTCCGTTTTATTTACATCCATGTTTCAAAATGGCGCCTTCGTGATGGATTATGGGTAAAATGTGTTCCACTTATTTTATTTATTTATTTCAACTATGTTTTGCTTCGTATACGAGATATACCATTGCAATACATATGTTGACTTTATTACAAGATATTACATTCTAAAGTTTACAAATAACTCGTAATCATTCAATTGAAATCATTTTCCGATTATGTCCGGAAACACACGAGTGTAACAACGATGTTACGGAACACACCGAACACCTTACAATAAAGCATTTATTTTTTTAAATACTTAAACAGTACGGTGTTTAAACATTATAAAATGTATAAGGTTAATACACATGCGTTTTAGTGTATTGTTCTTATAGAATATATCGGTTTTTTAGTATCCGAGTACTTCCGGAAAAAACGTAAACACTCATTGCACATCCGGCTGTATTGAGAACAACACGTATTTCGAAGCTTGTTTTGCTTATTGGTACAGATCGTTGTGTTTTTGAGGCATCAATTCTGCAGTAATGTCTGTTGATAAAGTTTTATGTACACATTGTGATACATTTGTCTCCCGTCGTACGAAATATTCCCACAGCAGGCTAGATTGGCAAAGCAAGTTACCAGACTATGAGGCGCGGAAGCGACGGATTCTTGCATCAGGTAAATGATATGTTATTTTGGTAATGCTTAGTTTAACTTGGTTAACACCATCTTAACAACCATCACCTGGCTGGGATTGTTTTCACCTTTGAATTAATGACAACTTCACCTTAAATGTCTCAACTAGATCTACTTCACTTACATATAGATCTATGTTTATGTACATGCACAATTTCATGCTTTCTAACCTATGCTCAATTTTTCAGATGTGGAGAAAGATGATATTTCCAAGAAAAGGAAGGCTAATGACAGCGTCGAACAGGAAAAAGAGACACACAAGGTATTATATTTTGCCTTCAAGTGTAACAACTTTACACATTTGCTATATCCGCTTAGCTATGGTCACACTGTCTTTTCATTACATTCTTGCCCTATTCTTTTGAAAGAGAGTTTCATGTGTGCTTGAATTTTATTTTTTTTTAGTTCATATCTTATCATGAATCTTTTCTTCTTCGCCAACAGCAACCATCCGGGACAGCGTGTTCAAGACTAGATATCCGGAAGGATACAGTAAATGATGGTAAGCTTTTCTTATATTTACTCCACTTTTCTAAGGATGTCAAACCAAGTCATCAGGCCTGACCACCTGATCCAGTTAGTCACCTCTTACGAACAAGCAATTCTAACCAGAAATCCTCACGTGACACTTCATCTATTAGACCTAGTTATTATCCTTAAAAATAAACAGTTTTAGAATCATCATTTTAAATACCATGTCAATCTTCTAAAAACTACTAGAAAAAGTATTGTAGTTGTTCACACTATACTGTGAAAGTATTTTTTGTTTGCACTAGATCGGTTTGTCTTTGAGGCCTTAATGTCCCATTCCCTATTAGTATTTCGTTTAATTTTGCTACAACACCGAGGTTAATCAGTGAAGATTCAAATTAGAATTTATCTTCACCAACCCATGCTGGAGGTGACTAAAGGGATCAAATGGGCAGGCTTGCCGACTTGGTTGATGCGCGCCATTCTATCCCAACTGCGTAGAGCCATGGTCATGATGTCTATGAATGAATTGTCTGGCCCAGACTTGCTTATTTACACTTGCAGCCTGTCATCATATAGCTGAAATATTGCTGAGTGCGATGTTAAATAACAATCAAACAAAATCAGATACTGTGACCTGGTTACAAGAGGAAAGATTCTATGTAGAGCATATTTCGCTTTTCATATTTTAATATCAATCAATGTTTATTGATAGTCATCTCTTCAACTGACCTGATTTGCGCCACTTGAGAACACATCAAATGTTAAGGTCACAAGATGAGATGCACAATATTTGACAAGAAAAGACAAATGTTCTATTTATTTTGTTCTTTATTAGTAATTTTGATGGTTTATAGCCAGAACGCCATAGTGAGGCGTACTAAAAGTAGTTCTGAGAGCAGGTATTATTTCATTGAATGAAATTACATGTTAATACCTATTTTAGATTTTCAGATAAATATTTTATCACTAAATACATAATAAATATACTTATATATAGGTTATAAATGAACATGTTGCATGTAACCAGTACAATAAGATTACACATAACTACACTTGGCGAGACTAATGAGTGGGTTGGTGATTGAGGATGGTTTTAGACATTGGATTCATGTGGAGCCTCGTCTTTGGGGTGACGAGCAAATTTTTTAACCCCTAGACTACCCATTGCCCCTCTAAGTTAGTTTAAGTTAAGGAAGTTCATCTGTTTATTTCACCGGTTTTCAGATAGATATATTAGGCTTACTCAATGAATCAGTGTCTATCACACAATGTGTTGTGAATATATAAGTTTACATTTGGTGAAAATAATGCTTTTCAGATTATTTTTTTCTGGTTGTAGAGTTGGATGAGCTCAGTGTTTTAATAACCTCGACTGTATTTTCACAAATACGTTTATGTCACATGCTGTCATGTGAAAGGTTGTTTAAGACAGGCTGTTTGTGAGAAGTACTTGAGGTCTTTTTCGTGTTCAAACTCATGAATAAATCAGGCATTTAGAGAAAATGTTCAATACTAAAATGCAATTAGAAGTGTAGGGATTTATAGCTGCTAAGTGGAAGATAAGTTTTGCTTGTTTACCAATCCAGATTTCTTTTGAAATAAAAATGTTTGAACCAATCTGTTTTAATTTGGTGTCAGCCTCTGTTCCCTTTGGTAAGGGAATTTGGCAGATAATGGATCAATGTTTACATTTCATGATTAATTGTATCAGGTTTATGTGCATGTCCTTAAGTCCTTACCCCTATAGTTTTTAATGTAACTATATATCTCTTACTTGAATAATAGAAAATACACATTTGTTTCAAAGTGGAATTGAATGTGTCATTTAGGGCCAAATGCATTTTACTAAGTTTACAAAATAGACATCCTTGAGCTTTACTAACTATGGGTTATTTCATTTTTGGTGGGTACTGCACATTCAACAGTGACGTGTGTATTGTCTAAGTCTGCTCGTTTCATCTGTCTGGCTCCACTCTTAACGACATCAATTAAATATAATGATTAACTGTATATAAGCTGATAAAGTTGTCTGTTAAGATGTGTTTATTGTCCAAGTTTGCTTGTTTGCTTGGTAGGCTCTGCTCTAACGAGATCAGTCATAAAGCAGTCATGAGCAGTCATAAAGACACCTGGCTAAATTCCATGTTATTGTTCATTAGTTACACCTGATTGATTTTTATTGCCCAAATGAGGTGATGCTTGTACATTTTCACCTAGTATTACATAGATGCTTATTTCCTTCTTATTATTAGTTACTGATTTTTTGTCAGCTTTTTTCACATCCAATTCAGGTTATTGATTTGCCTTAAAAGTATGACAGTTATGATACATTTATGAAGTGCATGAACTTGTAAGTCACTGATCTTTTTAGTGATATCATTATGTAAGATACTTAAAAAAGTATAATAATACTGATATAATACAATACATACTTTTTAAGTTAAAATTTATATGGGCCAGTTTTTTGTGTAATACGTGTCTCATAAGATTTGTTGCACGAACTGCTTATAAGGAAATTATTTCTTGATTTTCAGAACTTCCACCAGACAGCCCCTGGATTCCCTTGACAGAAAAACCTTGCAACGCTGATGCCTTTGCAGACACAATCAACATCGATAGCAAGGTAAAATATGTAAAACTTATTTAATAGATATTTATGCTGACCTAATTCAAAATATATCATTTTTAGTTTTAACAAAATCAGTAAATGTGTTATCATTTCATAAGATTTTCTGGTCCATGACTTGATGGTCTGGTTTGTTTACAGGGTATGCTTAGCCCTTTCCTGAATACTTGGTGTAATCACTGATTTTCAGTGATCTGTTCACAGAATTTTCATTGCTGTTTTAGATAAGTTGTGTCTGTTTCGTTTGATAATCGAGACTGGTATTTTCTGGCATTAACGTTTTATATTTACATGTTTCAATTGCAAAGCCACATACAACAAAAAAGATACCACAAACTACTAAACATTCAATGCATTTTGCTGATGCTTGCCAAACTGATTTCAGAATTCTGTTTTATGCAAGTTTTGTAAACGCAGTTTGGATGATGTATCATGATAAAGATAATCCTTTCTTGACCTTTGATATTTGTATCTCTATCAGCATATGACCCCAACGGATATCATTTTTATCCATTGGCTTTAATAGAAACCTACCCATTTTATGATAAATCTCAAATATCTCACGTTGTAAAATTTATAATAAACATGGCATACTTGCCAATTATGCAGCCAAATTTTTACACCATTTTAAAGTATAATATGACATATGTAGTACCCAGGAAAAATGAATACTATTTTATATATACAAGTAATCAGTAATGTATTGAGTTTTGATTGTTAGGTCTAACCCATGCTAACCTCATGGGTTAGAATTGGCTCCCAGCAAACTATGCTGGTCTTAAGAGGCAATCAAATGGATTGGTCAGACACAGGTCATAGCCTGCTATCGTACCTATCAATCACTGTATTGTCTGGCCCAGACTTGATCATTTACATCCCAACGCCATCCATATACATAGTTGGAATATTAATATGTGCAGCATTAAAGAAAAATAAAAAAGAACCAAATCCCACAGTCTGTCATTTCAAATACTTCTGTAATCATGTGTTTTTCTTTGTTCAAAAGGAGGGATTCAGCGACAAGGAAGGGAAAACAAGTGAAGCAACAATGGGCCAAAGTGACAGAGACTTATCATTTACTGGTATGTTTATGTTTGTTATGTTTGTTATACTGTTCTTCTAAACATCATTTTTGTTTGTGTTTTTTTTGCATCCTTCCCTTTTTTCGGGCTGCAGTAAACAGTTGATTTTCTCAATGCACATCAGTCTATACTATGAACTATTTTGAACTACATTTGTAAATGGGAGACCTTTTAATAACAACAATGAGTTGAATGTTTATCAAAT